TCTCTCATCCGAAGGCCATTAGCTGTAGGTTAGGTAAAATTGAATATCTCACCTCTAGAACAGGATTCAGGCAAGTGTCCTGTGCTGGTGGTCTTTGACCCCTCCAGACTCTGGCCAAAAAAGGGATGGCTAAAAGTCTGTAGAGAAGGATGTGGAGACCATGGTCAGACCACAGTTGGTGGTTATGCTGCTTAAAAAAGCAACCCCTCTTCTCTTTTTAAACTTTTGGGTGTGCCTGTAAATTCAGGGGCTGGGGTTGAGGGATAGCCAGACCAAGCATTTTAATGTTATTGAGTGTGATGGAGGGGAGGAGATTTGGGGCAGAAGGGTCTGTTCTTTTAGCAGCAAAGGCAAAAGCTGAATCTCAAGACTGGTGGCTGGTAGTACGTATATGTCTGCTACACTAATTGGTGGTTAAATAGTAAGTTGTCATCTGTGCCACTGAAATTGGGAGGCACTGGGCCTGGAAGAGCCATAGAGAGGTTTGTAGAACAAAAGGGCCTAGTTGAAGAGGTGGGTTGGGCAGGAGACAACTGAGTTGACATTTACACACAGAGTTTGCTTGACTGTGCAGTCCAGGTGTTCGGTTTAACCTTGTTTTAAAAGCATCCCTCCCACCCCACACCCGATGGGAGGGCTTCCTGTTTCTGCTCAGCTTTGTGTCTCCATTGTTAAACTTGTTGGGAAATGTGGGATTCGATTTTGTATTATTGCAGGCGGGTGTTGGTGGTGGTGGATTGAGGGTGTTCAGCCCCTCTGCCCAAATGGAAAACAAAATAAATTAATAGCTCAATTGATGCACGAGACCTGAATGCGGGGGGTAGAATTAGTGATTTGGCTGTGGGGCTTTCAGATGTGAAGCAAACAGCAATGCTGATACACAACATGCTCTTGAATGCTGCAGGGTCGCACACAAACTTTCCCTTTAGTCTCTGCAAACTGAGTAATCCTTCCATTGTATCAACTGCTAATCTGCAGGAGCAGGAGGGAGGCCTAATTCTGAGCTCTTGCGAAGGAAGACACCTGTACTGAAATTTCCCCCATATTATGCTAGGACTATGTAGTAGGGCTGCAGCTTTATCTTTGCAGGGTCTCCTGTGTGACCCTGTTTCCAACCCCTGGGACTAGCTCTGCTCATAGACCAAGCTGAAGGTTTGCCCTGTCTTCCAGAAGGAAAAGTTTGGGTCCAGTCTCTAATTCTGATCTAATGTTCTAATCCTTCTCTTAATTTTGTTGATGCTCATTCCTTCCTGCTTCCCTGCAGAGCACTGTAGGTAGTAGTTGGACTATGTGAACCTTCTTGGTTTTGGTTTTGTACAACTCATATGGTTTTAGAATTAGAAGGGGCAACAAGGGTGGTCTAGTCCTACCCCCTAACCTAAATACACAACTATCACACTCCTGAAAGGTGCCCATCCAACCTCTGTTTAAAGACCCTCAAAGAAGGAGATTCCAGCACCCTCCAAGGCAGTCTATTGTACCGTTGAACAGTTATTACAGTAAAGAAGTTCTTCCTAACATTTAGGTGGAATTGCTTTCCTTGTAATTTGAATCCATTGGTTTGCGTTCTAGCTTCTGGATCAGCAGAAAATGAGCTTGCTCTGTCTTACATGGCATTCTTTCAGATATTTAAAAATGACTACCATTTCACCTTCCACCAAAGGTCCAGGTATGCAGTTAAGAAATTATACTGTTTCCCACTTTCGGGGGAGATGCAAGTATTGTATCTGCCAGGATTGCTTTTTACAGCCACAACTCTTGTCTAGAAATAGCCAAAGTGGGCCATATATTAATTTTGCCTAGGTTAGATTACTCTGATGTGCCCCACATGGGCCATCCTTGAAGACTGTTAGCAAACTGCAAGTGGCAGAGAATACACAATTGTATTATCCCTATTCTTTATCATTTACAGTGACTATTATCTTCTAGACCCAGTTCAGAGTATGGCTTTAACTTTTAAGGTCTTAAATGGTTTGGAACCAGGTTACCTGAAAGACTTATCTACATCTGTGTGGTCATCTCATGCATTAAGATTCAGAGACCCCGCTCTAGCAAACAACCAAGAGCCATTAGGCTAGCAGGTACTAAAGATAGGGCTTTGACACTGCTGGCCCTACCTTTAGAACTTTTCAGGGAACTACCGTATTTTCCGGCGTATAAGACGACCCGGCGTATAAGACGACCCCCCATTTTCCCCAGTCAAAATATAGAGTTTTAACACCTCTATCCTCCTTATCCTTATACCCGGCATATAAGACGACCCCCCCACTTTAACCACAGTTTTTGCAGGTTAAAAAGTAGTCATACGCAGGAAAATAAGGTATATATGGCTTCACCGGTGCTGCCTTAAAAACATTCTCTATTCCAGTCTGTATTTGGAGATTTAAAATGATTGGGTAGGTATGTGTGTTGAATTGTGTTTTCATATTTTTGTATTGTAACCTTCCTGTGAGATCACTGTGTTCTGAAAGATGGGTTGGAAATCATTTAGAAAATGATGACACATAGTCATTGGTAATGCCATCACATTGCATCGGTAATGCGTGTCATTATTTTTAATATTTACTTTGATGCAAGTGTCCACAGGCTTGCAGCCCAGGAGTTGCTTTCCTACATGAGCCGCGCTACCAGGACTCCCACTTTCTTCATCCTCAGCCTCTCAGGACCATCCAATGTGTGTGTGTCTTAGTCAGTAGACACCCACAAGAGATTCTCTGGGTTTTCTCCCATCTATGCAACGAAGAGATGAGTTGGTTTCGTAAGGCCACAATTAAGATATAAAAACATTTGTTTAGCTTCTGCTGGAGCTAATGGCAGACACGTGTCAATCAATACTGCAAAGGTTCAATTATTAATGCATTTGTCCATTTTGCTAAAAGACAAGAAGCCCAAAGGACCTTGCTTGGCAGACCACATTGGCCCGCACTTGGCTATGCCCGCTCCTCTGTTCCAGCTATTATGAAAGCTTCAGCAACATAACCCCAGTGTGGCTGAAAATACTTTCAGCCATCATCACTGGCTTTGAGATGTTTTGACATTTGGCTTTCCTCCTTCATCTGCTTCTAGGAAATGAACCTGGTTGGAGACTTGGGATCCATTTATGCTGCCACATTTATAGTACTATGATTCCACTTTAACCGCTATGGTTCCATCCTGGGAAATTCTGGGAGGTGAAGTTTAGCGAGGAGGATTTAGGATTCGCAACCATAGAACTCCATTGCCTCATCAAACTACAAGTCCCAGGATTCCATAGGATGGAACCCTGGCAATTAAAAGTGAAATAATAAAGCTGTAGAAATGGAAATCCATTGAGTGACCTTAGACAAACCCCCTCTGAACAAATCTTGCCACCAAAGCCCCATGATAGATAAGACCTTTGAATAAGGAGTATTACCATTCATTTATCTTAACTGCTGTGAGGATTTTTTAACTGCATCCACATGAACAATTATAAAATGGTATACAACTGTTCAATATTTTATGCAAAAGTGCATAAACATGTACGACTCCAGTCTTTTCAAAGCATGGTGTTGTTTCTAGAATGAAACAGTGATAACCATTTTGTGAGAAAGTCTTATTTGCCAGCTTCTCTGTTTTTCTAGCCTAGGATTTTTGAGAACTGCTGACTTTTGGGATGGTTGGTATGCAGTTTGAGTGTAGAAACATCTACCCCAACTAAAATACAAGTTTTAAGAGGTTTGCCCCACTATGTTCCAAAGAAGGCATCTTCAAAGTAGCATGCCCAAGGGATTTTAAGTCATAGTTCTATGCCCAAATGGATACTCTATTCTGGCTTTTGGACACTGAGTCCACACAGACAAATGGACACGTACAAATCTCAGAGAATTGTGATTCCCGCCCATGTTCAATGTGTTCTGCAAAATGAAAATAAAAACAATCCCCAAATACATATCTTTTTACAACCCCAGATAATTTGTGTTTCTTAGCTTTTTCTATGCTTTGATCACAGTTTTAGGGATTTTTTCCTCTTTTTAATTTGAGTCTTTTCTGCTGGTGGGCAGGATAATAAAAATTGCTAGGTGACTGATGTGTTTAAATGTATTTGCAGCTCAGTACTGACTTCCTCCTTTTCAAACAAATCATTATCAACAGACTGAATGTCAGGATTGTACTTGGAGGAGAAAGGTTCATCCTTTGAATCAGGATAAGTGGCACCCCCTAAATACCCTTGTGTGCCCTGTTCCGCTAATAGGTGTGTTCAATTGCACCGATAGAAATGTCAAGATCTTTGCTCTGGCTAAACACAGCTGGGATATTTAAAGTGAATTTTAACCAAGGGCTCTGAATCTCCCTTCTCTCTAAGCCCTTGCTGGGGACAAGATGAAGCCACCCTTCCTCAGCCCTGCCACTTCTAACCCTCTTTGCATTCCTAGGATGGGTTTAAGTGTCTCTTGGGCACTCGCTTGGCATGCAGCTGGCAGTCTAACCCAATCTCCCCCTAATTCTCTGTCTTTCACACACATACACACACCCATACACTCACTCACTCTCCAGTCACTCAACAATATTGCATGGTTGACCAAAAAGCTGGAGCCCCAAAGTGCTGATCAATGGAGAATGTATTTAGGGCAAAGTGTTTAATGCGAGATGATCAATAAAGCGACCCAGCACTAAGAGTTCCCAGTTCCCTTCCAATTGTCAGATTTAAAGGGAGGGCAGGAAAGGGGGTGGCACTTGGAGCCTTGGCAGGCTCTGCTTTTACAGTTCCACATGGAAACTGGACTGACCCCAGTGGGTCCTTTCGTTGCTCAGAGATTCATGCCTGATATGGTATTAACTAACAGCATCACAACCTTTTCTGGATGGGTAGGTGGTGGCAAGGCAGGGAAACCCAGACCTGCAAATTTGGGAATTGCAGTCTTAAACGTAACTTTTCCAAGGTCTAGCATCTGTATTCTCCTTTTGAGGCTCCCTGGACCTAGCTTCCATAGCACTTTATCCATTGCCTTTTTTAAAAGCTTTCTGTAGCATAAATGAGAGGCGGTATGGTGTAGTGGTCTGAACATTGGACTATAACTCTGGAGACCAGGTTTCGAATCCCTGATTGGCCATGGAAACCCACTGGGTGATCTTGGGCAAATCATACTCTCAACCTCAGAGGAAGGCAGAGGAGTTGCAGGTTGGATGACCATCTTTTGGGAGTGCTTTGATTGTGTATTCCTGCATGGCAGGGGGCTGGACTGGATGGTCCTTGGGGTCTTTTCCAATTTTATGATTCTGTGATTCTAAGTATAATAATATTGTATAGAAGCAGACATTTCAGCAGGTGTTGCTTCTTACTTGGTTGTGTAACACTAGCTGACATTCCGTCGTCTACAGAGCCATGAATGGTACATGTTTTAAATCTGACAGCCTTAGACAAGGGTTCAGATCCTGGCTCAGCCATGGAAATGTATCGGGTAACCTTGGGCAAGTCATACTCTCTGTCTTAGAAGATGACAAGGGCAAATCTATGTATACATTTTGCCAGGAAAACTTTACAATAGGATCACCATAAATCGGGGTCAACTTGAAGACCCACAACAATGACAAAACCCAGAGATAGGAAATCATGAAGCCCTCGAGATGTTCTTGGACTGCAGCTCCCATCAGCCCTAGCAGCATATATCCAATGGTGAAGAAGGCTAGGAGCTGCCATCCAGGAACATCTGGAGCGTGGTACGATTCCCACTCCTGCTGTAATCCAAGCGCAGGGGTAGGCAACCTAAGGCCCGGGGGCCGGATGCGGCCCCCTGA